AAATTCAAAACTTTCCCTTATTTTTAACTACCCATTCTCCATCAAATCACCATTCCAAAATATATATATATTTTTTTTGCAAAAAATTGCATCAAGTGGGGCTCTTAATATTTTATTGCTGTCAACGGTCTACGATCAACGGCCGCCCATGATGAATCTAAATCATAGATCCGCCACTACCCAATCAATGCACCCTGAACCATTCTGATATATTCTCATATAAGTGTAGTTTAATTCATTAAATTCCAAACATATTGGAGTGAGAACCATGTTCTTGTTCATACCAATTAATTCCTGACCTAGGGAAAGGGATTTAGTACAAAGTCTAAGCCCCTGTGTAGTACACATTCTTAAAAAAAATTATTCTTTCAAAACTCATTTTCAACCACTCTTTAATAAAATAATATCACATGAAAATCCAAAACTTTTCTTTATTTTTTAACTGCATATTTTCCATTACATCACAAAATGCATTTTCTTCTCCATAATGTGAATCAAACACCTCCTAAGCTTGCAGGAGAGAAATGATGAATCACATAATGCATCATCCTTCTCAATCATGCGAAAGTGGCTAGCATCCACCGTGAGCATGACTATTTTCAAACCCTTGACAATATGCTAAACTCCTGTAGTCATCTATAACTTCTGGAATATCGAACCAGCAAATATCAGATTTGATTTCACAATCCCATATATCTAAATTTGATTCTACTTGACGGCATGTGGATCCACAAATCAAGTCATTTAGCCTTTTTGACATTGTTGTAGCTCCAATTCCCAGTCTTGATTTTCCAATCTGAAAATACAAGTAAAAAAAATGTAATTAGAGACGGTGGTGTATTTAAATAAAAAAATGAAAGGGTTATTAGAATCTATAATGACCTTGTCATGGAGGATTTGGAAGGTGGAATGTCCATGCTTAGAAAAATTTGCATTGACAACTTCAATACTATCTTCATGAAGCAAGTGTAGTATCTTGTAAAACTTTGATAAATCATCAAGCCCAACAACTAAAATGACATCCATATTTGGTCCCATATCATGAATTTCTACTAAAGGCGGTGAAGACTTTGTGTTGGCTTGAATTTCACTTGTAATGCAAGAATGTGATCTTTTCCTTTGCAACAAGTATTTCTTCTTCTCCTTCATCTCCTCCACCTTCATCTTTAAACTTTCGATGTATGTCACAACTTCATTTATTTGATCAAGCAATGACATGGCTTTCTGCATTTGCACGCACACAAAAAGTCATTATGCATATTCAGTTATGTCTCGACGTGAGTTTACCTGCAGCTTTCCTTGGACGCAAGATTTGTTTAGGGCTGTTGTGGGTGTGTGTTTTTGTGAGTGAGTGAGATTGAGAGAAACCTTGGAGCCATGATTTGG